TAGAATAGAATAGAATAGAATAGAATAGAATAGAATAGAATAGAATATTGGCCAAGTGTATTGGACACACAAGGAATTTGTCTTGGTATACATAAAGAAAAGATACATTCGTTAAGAATCAAGAATCATAACGTACAATACTTAATGATAGTCATAGGTTACAATCAACAATCAAATCATACTAGGAAACAGTCAATATAAATCGTAAGGATACAAGCGACAAAATTACAGTCTACAATCACAAGTGGGAGGGGATGGGTGATAAGGAGTGATGAGAAGATTAACAGAAATAGTAGCGCACACTTTATAAATAGTTGAACAGTGTTGAGGGAATTATTTGTTTAGCAGAGTGATGGCTTTCGGGAAAAAACTGTCCTTGGGTCTAGTTGTTCTGGTGTGCAGTGCTCTATAACATCATTTTGAGGGAAGGAGTTGAAACAGTTTATGTCCGGGATGTGAGGGGTCTGTAAATATTTTCACAGCCCTCTTTTTGATTTGTGCAGTATACAGGTCCTCAACTGAAGGCAGGTGGGTAGTAATTGTTTTTTCTGCAGTCCTAATTATCCTCTGAAGTCTGTGTCTGTCCTGTTGGGTTGCAGAACCAAACCAGACAGTTATAGAGGTGCAGATGATAGACTCAATAATTCCTCTGTAGAACTGTATCAGCAGCTTCTTGGGCAGTTTGAGCTTTCTGAGTGACACAGAAGGAACATTCTTTGTTGTGTTTTTATGATGACATTTTTGATGTTTTGATGGTGTCCATTTTAGGTCATGTGATATAGTAGAACCTAGAAATTTGAAGGTCTCTACTGTTAATACTGTATTGTCAAGTATTGTAAGAGGTGGTAGTATGGGAGGGTTTCTTCTAAAATCTACCACTATTTCTACGGTTTTGAGTGTGTTCAGTTCCAGATTGTTCTGGTTACACCACGAGGCAAGTTGTATAACCTGTCTGTATGCAGATTCATCGTTGTCTCGAATGAGACCAATCACTGTTGTGTCATCAGCAAACTTCAGTATTTTAACAGATGGATCGTTTGATATGCAGTCATTGGTATATGGGGAGAAGAGAAGTGGAGATAGCACATAGCCTTTGTTATCCTGCAAATGCCTGATAATAATTCATTTATATAATAGAAAAGCTATATAGTATCATATGCTCATTAGCACATGATTTAATTTCCCTTCTCTGTTGAAATTACTTCAGAAACGTAACATGAGAATATTAGGTATATCCTGATGGCCTACTAATAAATGCCAAACCTCCAATAAAATAAAAAATAATTTATGTTCCTATAGATCTTTTGGGCCTCTATTTCCTCATTGGAAGATTCCAGCTCCATATTATATATTGTTTTTAAAACAGTGTGCTTTCTAATGTCATAGTGTAATACAGCATGGGCTTCTCTTTTACAAAATTACTTTTTAAATGGTAAAAATCCTTTTTTTGTTTCATTAATCTTTGCATTCTCCCTAAAGTACTCTGGACTCTAGTAGAAACAAGAAATATTCTATACAGTGATCAAGCCCTTTTCTTTTTCTCTTTTCTTTTCTTTTCTTTTCTATCCCATTTCACCTTTTTACTGAGAAACTGTTAGGGGAATCTGTAGCATTGAGTTAAAGAAAAATGAACATTACTTTTTCAGCATGGGACCACTTTTGGTCCACCTCAAGGTGGGTTTCATCCACCTTATTGGCAGCCTGGACCGCCAGGGCCCCCAGGACCTCCAGCACCTCCTGCGCCTCCTCAGAATCGAAGGGAAAGGCCAGCATTTAGAGATCGCCAGAGATCACCAATCACATTGCCTGTGAAACAGGAACCTCCTCAAATTGGTATGTCTTCAGTATATTTAATTTAATGTATGTGATACACACATTTTAAAAATACAAGTTGTTGGTTGCTGGGTTTCACGGCCTGTAATTGAGTTAGGCATACTGTACTCAATTTCATTTATCTGTGCTTCATCTTAAATAGAGCAACTTTATGGACCTTCAGCTACAGCCTAACAAATGTTCTCCAATATGGCCCATGGAAAGAATTATGAAGCTTATAAGAGACTGTTAGCTTTTCAAAATCCTTATAGGGCTCAGAAAGTATGCATTTATTAAGTAATTTATTTTATGATGCTGTAGATGCTGTTAAACGTAGAACTCTACCTGCTTGGATTCGTGAGGGCTTAGAGAAGATGGAAAGGGAAAAACAGAAGAAACTAGAAAAAGAGAGAATGGAACAGCAGCGTTCTCAACTGTCTAAAAAGGAAAAGAAGGAAATTACGGAACCAGGAGAAGAGGATGGACCTCGGTTACCACAGAAAAGTAAATTTGTAAGTGGGAAAGTTCCTGAACAAGTTTACATATTTTTAAAATACTTCATTTTAATATATTTTTTTTTGGAAAATAAAGTTGTATTTTACCAACAGTGTTGGTAGCAAAGGTGTTTGTCCATACTTTTCCTATTTGACAGTCTTCTAAAGCAGATGGGTAATTTTAACTGCAAGGTTAAAATGGGTATTTCCTGCCCAAAATACTGGTTTTGTTTTGGCAAAATGATAGAATATGTCAGGCAGTCTTGATCATGCAAAATAGACCTTAACCTTGAAATTTCCTTTTGCATCAATATCTTTTTAAATTTTGTCAGTGTGAATAGTCAACATTTCAAATATGAAAGTTCCTTGTTGAAGAGTTGTATTTCTTGTTTTATAGGATAGTGATGAAGAAGAAGATTTTGATAATGTAGAGGCTATAAGTAGTGGAAAAGTCACGAGAAGTCCATCTCCAACTGCTCATGAGGAGCAGAGTGAACCAGAAATGACAGAGGAAGAAAAGGATTATCAGATGGTACAATTCATTTTTGGATTACTGTATTTGCCATACATTTGACTGTTAATATAGTAGGAGCCATAGTTAAGAAAAAATAATTCATTATTACATTCTAATTTTTTTTAACTTAATTGATAAAATTTAATGATAAATTTGTAATTTGAAAGAAATATATTTAATCTTAACTAGGAAGGGTTTTATTGTTAACCATTATTGAAATAACAAATCAGTTAAAGGTTTCATCCTTAGATATTCAGAAAAGCTGTTCTTTAGTCAAATTATTCTAATGGAGACATCAAGCAACTGTTGCTAAATTGAATTTTTATTGGTGTGCTGATACACCTGTTGCATCAAAATGTGTTAAATTGAAATCTGCTACAATTAGGGTTTACTGTGGAACATTTTTTTACTTGATATTTTTGCATAGGATGCCATATAAACATTGTTGGCATAAATATGCTGTTTCTCTTACTGTTGCCAATCCTTTGCTATTTCTTTTTCAAGAAGTGAGATGCCTTGAATTGGGGTAGCATCTGAATGAATGTTTATCTTTAAATTTGTTCAGATGTTGCTGACAAAAATGTTGCTGACAGAAATTCTCCTAGATGTCACCAATGAAGAAATTTATTATGTGGCTAAAGATGTCCATCGTAAAGCAATAAAAGGTATGTTTAGGCTTCTAATAGGTTCATTAATTGTCCTTGTTCATGTTTTGTAATAGTTTAAAGTATATAAGCATATATTCATATATAATATCTGTATCTAAAATAATTTAAATGTAAAGTTCCAAAAATGCATTTGTAATAATATATTGTTGTTCTGCGTAGTTTATAGCATTAAATATTTAATTTTTTCAATTTAAATTTTTTAAAATTGTGTTTTTAAATAGAATTTTCTAGTTGAAATTTAGATGAGAAAAAAAATTCCAATAAGTCAAACTTGTATAATTAATTTTTTTTGTGATCCTGCTATTCAGCTTTTTTTTTTAAAAAAAAAAGTAACCTTATTTCATATAACTCTGAATAAATTAATATACTGACTGTAGGTAAAATGTATTACTCTGTTAATACCTTACTCTAAAGAACTGCCTTTTTAATTGTATCCATTATTAATTTACAGTTTAAATTTCTAAACAATCATGGCCAGAAATTACTGGGCTTTCAATGGATGATACGTGTTTAATGTTTTTTCTCTCCTCCACAAAACAGCAATAGTAGTAGATTTAACAATACCATAGACACTCATGACTATGAAAACGTGGCTATTTGTGTTAACATGTTGTTCCTGTTGTTGATGTGATACAAAGCTCCTGCAAAACAGCTGGCACAGTCCAGTGCATTGGCTTCCCTCACTGGACTTGGTAAGTATGCTCCTGATTTTTGAGAGGGACTTAATGGGGAGAGCTGTCACTTGCATTCCTAAATATGTATTGAAACAAGAGTGAAACTGTCCAATATGCATTAGGCAAGCATCAAGTAACTTAGGACTTACCTCACAAAAGTTATACTGAAATCTGTGAAATCTGTAGTACTCTTTCTGTGCAAGCCTTCCCTGAGGTTGAAGGTTGGGTGTTTTTGGCCAGATATCTAATATGGTATCTAAAATACAATGGACTTGAATGATTTGTATTATTTTTTTAAACTTTACTGTGTTAGTGTATGTTTAAATTAAAAAAAAACCACAATAACATCTACTACTTTGTCTTGCCAAAAATCCCACACAACAAAATGCATATTTTGAATTCTCATAGCTAATGCTTGATATTAGAACATGCTGGATATGAAATTCAGAATTGCATCCTATGTTGTAATAGATTGTGTAAAAACTATGCATGTCAGTGTAACATTGATAATGCTGTCATATTATTGTGACATTAAATAAATATATTATTTTGACCACTATGATGAATTCTTTTGTTAGTTTAAATGTATTTGGAAAATAATTTTAAAATTAAGAACCTGGGAAAGAAAGTAAAAATGCTTCTGAACCAGATGCTCAAGATTACTTTCTACCAGTTTTTCAGATCTATCTTTTGGGGGAAGAGAAGTCCATTCCTATTGCATATCTGTACCTTTTTAATGTACAGTCTTTTCTGAACAATTGATTGGCATTAGGACTTTTTAAAGCCCTGGATATTGAAGCTGACTGAAATCACTGTAACGATATCTTGAAGGACAGATCTTAGGCAATGCACTTCACAGTCTATTTTCTTGCTGATGTATTCTAAGCATTTGGTACTGGCTCTGTAAAGAGCTTTTTTACTCATATTGAGCAGAAAGTATGTAATCTTAGCGATTGCTTGCTGGAAAACATGGCAAGCTATTCCGGATGAAGTAAAACCAGATACTGAACAGCAGGTCAGATGTGTGGGCCTTGAACACTCCAGTCAACCAGCATTGGCACTTCCTCCAGAATAAGTGGCTTGTTCAGTGAAGAAGTGAAAGATGGGCAATATGCACTCCTCTTTGCCCTGCAGAAATATTAAGAACCAGGATTAATCTTTCCTCGTGATAGACTAGGCTTTATGCACGCAGGTGGACTGGGTGGTTATGGATCAGGAGACAGTGACGATGAGAGGAGTGACAGAGGCTCTGAGTCATCGGATACTGATGATGAGGAACTACGACACAGAATCAGGCAAAAACAAGAAGCATTTTGGAGGAAGGAGAGAGAACAGCAACTACTGCTAGAGAAACAGCTGGAAGGTATGTATATATGCATAGGGAGAGGGACTCTTATGCTTATACAGAATATTTTAACCTCTTACTATGTTAACTCTACGTGTAGCATTTCATGAGGCGGTTAGGGCAGAAGCCTCTTTTGCGCACACATGCACAGATAAGGCCTTGAAATAGCCCTGCCATGCCATGTGCTTGGTTTATCCCTTAGTCATACTGATCCATAGAGGCCTTTCACAAACACCTAATGAGATGGTCTGGAAAGGCCTAATTTATTATGTGATATACTATATACCCAAGCAAAGCTATTGCACTTATGGTAAACTAATTGTAGGAAATCAGGTTTTTTTTTTCTTGCATCTGTTGAATGTTCTCCAGTGATTTTTGCTGCCACAGAACAATTGTGGAATAATTACTATTCTTACACATTTTATCTTAAAATTGTTACTGGCCAGAAGAATAGGAATAGTTATCGGTTCCACTTTATTTGTATGATTTGGGGATCTATTTCTCTTTGGCACATATTTTACAGAAGAAAAGCTCCAAAATGAGAGAATTGCAAAAGAGATGAGTGAACTTGCCAGTAAAGAGCAAGGCAACAATTCACCACTAGAAGATGTGAAAGAAGCTGAGGAGGAGGATGCATTTGGTGAAAAGAAAAAGTCTCCAAAAGAAATAACACCAGACACGGAACCCAAAAAAGAGATTAAAGAGAAAGAGAGAGTAGGAAGGAGTAGGTCAAAAAGTTCAAGTAGTGCTAGTTCAAGTAATAATAGCAGAAGTAGCAGCAGTAGCAGCAGTAGCAGCACAGCTAGTAGTTCATCTTATAGTAGTAGTTCAGGCAGCAGTCGCAGCTCTACACATTCTTCCTCCCCCAAAAGAAAAAAAAGACGTAGTCATAGTAGGTCACCTAAAGTTAGGCGTAGCAGAAGTAGGAGCTATTCACATAGAAATAGAAGAGAAAGGAGCAGGAGCAGGGGTAAGGTAAGAGAAAGGCAGAGATCTAGTAGACACAAGAGTATAGAAAGAAGGGAGAGGCGACGAAATCATAGTCCTTCCCATGACCGAAACTGGGAGAGACGTAGAAGTGATAGTCACTCAAGAGATAGACTTACCTGCCATTCCACTTGTAGTGGGAGTCGAGATAGGCATAAAAGTGAAGATCAGCACAGGAGCATAAGTGGGAACAGGCACAAACATAGTCACGATAGCAAAATTCAAGAAAGAAAAAAAGAACGCAGTAGGAGCATAGAGAAAGATAAAAAAAAGAACAGGGAGAGGGACCGAGATCAGGAAAAGCGCAGGGAGAAACAGAGAAAAGAAGACAAAGACAGTAAAACTGGCAATCATGAAGAGAGATTAAAAAGAAAAAGAGATAGCGAAAGAACTTTCTCTCGCAGAGATTCCTTGTCTTCAAAAATGTTAAGGCGTGATTCAAGGCAGGAAAGCAAAAAAAGTTCTACCAAAGAGAGCAAAAAGCATTCAGGTTCAGAATCTAGTACAAGGAGCAGTTCTGAGTCACGAGGCAGCAGCAAAGAAAAGAAGCCGAAGAAATCAAAGCATAGTCGGTCACGGTCCATGGAGAAATCTCAAAGGTCTGGTAAGAAGGCAAGCCGCAAACACAAGTCTAAATCACGATCAAGGTAGTATTCTTTTAAGTATTTTGCTTGATTTATATATTTCTTTATATTTCAATTCTTCATCATGCTTGCCTGCAACGTGTATATATATATATATATAAATACTTTGCAAATTAAACTGTAGATTATCCTTCTGGTGGGATGGGGAGATACCTTTGATCGATTAAAAAAAAAGAAATACAGTTATTAAGCCTAACGTGTATGCTTTTTATGATTCTTTTCCCTTTAATTTTCCCCACTTTTTCTTTATTTTTCAGATCAATGACTCCTCGTCGTAAACGCTGAGGAATGATATGACACTAGTCATAATGATTTTAAAATTCCATGAGTTTTTAAGGGCTTGTCTCATTATAGAGGCTCATTATAGAGGCTACAGTTGTGGCTATGTAGATGGAAGCTGACCCTTTTTTAATGAAAAGATCTGTAAATAGCTGTATTTTTTGGAAACACTGCTCGGAGTTAAGTACTTGCTAGGAATTCTTTGTATTTACATTTTTCAAAACAGTAGTGCTTACCTAAGGCTATGAAATATGTCATTCTCTTTCAGCTGTAATGTTCTTAAATTGCTATTGAATGTATTGTGATGTCAATAAAGTTCTTCAGTTCATTTTTTTGTTTAACTTCTTCTATTTTTATTTATTTTAAATATTTATTTGCAAGGCATTTTTCTTTTGTAAAATGCTTAATAGTAATTTAACTTCTGGGTTTCATCTTTGGATAAATCCCAGTCAATTCTCTGATAACAGAACTGTGTGGGGAAAAAAAACCCAAAGGTTTTTGTTTTATTTTAATGGTATGCTTCATCATACTATGTGTGAATGAAATGTGGATAATTACTGTAAGACATACCAAGACTAGCCAAACAGAAATAGTAAGTCCAAGTAAGTTAACTTACATGAAACAAGTTTATAGCTTTGCAACACTTTCTCGTATGACTGGAGAAGTGAATACTGCTTTTGACTCAGTTTCTGTAATTATAACATTAAAGGTCACTAAAATAACCTTGTGTTAATAAATTTCATTAGGTCTAATCTTACAATTTACCAACTTAAGATGATGATTGCAAAATAAAAATGCTGTTTATAACATCTTAGAAAATGCTAAAAAGTAAGCAGTTTTTTGCTTGGGAAACATTAATTCTAGAGAGATCTTGGTGTTGAAAGTAGGCTTAAGTATGTTACAGCTTCCTATCAGAGATTGGGAACTTTCATTTTGATTTCTCATTTACTTCAGAAAGTTAATGGCACGCCTTAGTATTTAACTTATAACTGTGCAGACTAAATTTATAAGGTGCAGGGAAATAAAGTTGATACAATCCTAACGAACATAAGACCTGAAAAAATAGGAACTAAGATGTCAGTATCATGCTATGTACTTTGAGTAACCCTCTTCATGCATTGTACCTTCCAGGTGCATAATACTGATAGTCCTTGCTTAATGACTGGTTGCTAAGTGATTGAAGTTACAGTGGATGTTATAAACAGCACTTTAAGCTGCTTACAACCTGGTCCTGAAGTTAGAGCTGCTGCAGTGCCCCTCCAGTCATTTGCTTTTACAACCAATTGCAGAGACACTAACAGACTCCCCCTATTTTACCCCCACCAAGTCCTCGCAGGGCTTGGGCCTCTTCCACCCCCTCCCATCAAGCACCACACACTTACCTTTTGAAGATATCCAGAATTTTCTGCAGCTCTGTGTGATTTGGGCAGCCATATAGCATGATTCCAGAAGTGAGTACAATTATTTTGAGCAACCTTCTAGTCCCTTGTTTGAGTTAGTAGTTTCTTGATTAATGTATTGTTTACCACTTGACAAACAGTAAACAATAGTAAACAATCAAACCACAAAGAAAAAAATAACACTCCCGCATTTGTAGGGCATGCCATTTACATATAAACCAAGAGCAACCCCTCTCCTTTCTAGCAGTGATAATGTTATCTAGTTTGATAATGAAATGTCTGCAAGAAAACAACCAAGCTCAGAGAGCACCAACCACTCCACACACCCCAAACCTCCAGGACAAGAAAAGTGATTTCTTTTCTAAACAAATACAAACTTGAAGCACCCAGTGTATATTAATTGTAGGTGAACGTAATACACCTTTTGTAGCAATCCTATTAACAGATAGCGTGTCCTCTATTTTATTTTTCCAATTTTCCTACGTAGAAAAAGAATAAGGCCCAAAAAGAAGAGTTCTGTAATAATAGAAAATTAAATGTTTGTTTCTGTATTTAACTTGCTCCAATAAAAACTACAATGCTGTTTCAGTTTGTTCTTTTTAACATACCAACATGTGCGTAACATTTTAAAAGAAATTAATGAGATTATTAGGTTATAAGAACACAAGAGAAACTAATATTAAATGTCAAGGTTATGTTGACTCATAAAAGTAGAAAACTTTGAACTTCACTAACCTCTCCCTTATGTAATTGTCATATAATGTTAACATAGAGGAGAAATGGTCTTTGGAATGCACATTTGCTTTGTCACAGAGAAGGCATTTGTTTATTTACATATACTTTATTTACATATATTTATTTTAGGTAGAATCAGGGCAACTGGAGTGGAGCGTTTACTGGCTGGTGCCCTTCCTGACACTCTGCAGAGTTCACAGCAGATATTTTTTTCTTTGGCCCTACAGGATAAAAATCAGAGAAATATAGTGCATAATTTATTGCATTCCTAAATGCATCCTTGCCTGTCTCATCCACATATCGTCTTTGTTCCTGAAATGGCTTGCCAACTTAATTTTTTTTAAAGAAATTGCTGTGCCCTTATATTTATTCCCTCCATCCCATCCTGAGGAAGGTTAAGTAAACAGGGCAACCAGCCCAAAGTCACCAATGAAACTTCTGTGAGTTAAGTGGACCCAGAAGATGAGTGTCGCTATTTAACCAGCATACCACATTGGCTTTCTATGGAGATTCTCAATCATCCAGATCATGGCTGTCCTAGAGGTGCTTTCCAAAAAGCAGCTAAACTTGGTTTTTCAGTTCTAAAGAACTGAAGCTTCTCGGACAGGAAGTGAAACGTTTTCAAGGAAAAAAAAACCTCCAATTGCCTTTTGGAAAAGCACATTTGGGATATCCTGGCTTTCACAAATCCTCTCAACAACGCTCCCAACCTTTGTGCCAGTTTACCTCTGAGCCAGTCTAAGCTGAAGTATTTATCCACCGAGTAACAAAGCAATCTCCTCAGAACACTTAATATGGGATGGAAGTCTCTCTGGAAGCTCAGCCACCTCTGGGTTCCCTGGAACCAGCTGCAGGGCTGCCCTTCTCATTTGGCCACGGGACTCTACTTTAACTGTTGGGGAAGAAAGCTTCGCTAAGCTACCGTAAAGTCCATGACACTTCTTCCTAATACTAACCTGTGCAGCTATATCCCACTGGGTAATCCCTGCCGTGCTTGGTCTTCCTCTCCACAAAACACAGCTCCTTTGCCCACCATGAGTCGATTTAGAGTAGGGGTGTCAAACTTGTATCATCAGGGCATCACGTGATGTATTGTGACTTTCCCCCCCACTTCGCTAAACTGGGCATGGGCATGGCCAGCATATAATGCATCCAGCCCACAACCTGCGAGTTTGACAGCCCTGATGTAGAGCCATGGTGGTCAAGTGGTTATAACGTGGCTATAATACAGTATTGCAGGCTCCTTCTGCTGACTGACTGCATTTTGATTCTCACCGGCTCGAGGGTCACTCAGCCTTCCATCCTTCTGAGATCAGTAAAGTGAGGACCGATTGTTGGGGGCAATACAGGTAGTCCTCACAACAGTTCATTTAGTGACCCTTTGAAGTTACAACGGCAATGAAAAAAGTGACTTGTGACCATTTTTCATACTTACGATCTTTGCAGCATCCCCATGATCATGTGCTCAAAATTCAGATGCTGCGCAATTGCTTCATATTTATGACGGTTACAGTGTCCCAATGTCATGTGATCACCTTTTGTGACCTGACAAGCAAAGTCAATGGGGAAGTCAGAGTCGCTTAACCGTTGATAAGTTACTAATTTATCAACTGCAGCAATTCACTTAATTGAGGCAAGAAAGGTTGTAAGATGGGGCAAAACTCTCTGAACAAATGTATCACTTAACAGAAAATGTGGGCTCAATTGTGGTCGTAAGTCGAGGACTACCTGTATGATGCCACTAAACTGCTTAGCGAAGGCTGTAAAGCACCGTGAAGCGGTATATAAGTCTAAGTGCTATTGCAATTTAGAACAGGGGTGTCCAACCTTGGCAACTTTCCTGGCTGAGGAATTCTGGGAGTTGAAGTCCATAAGTCTTAAAGTTGCCAAGGGTGGACACCCCTGATTTAGAAGCAAGCAAAAACATGGCCGCAGCTTCCCCTTTTTTTCCCGGAGGTGTGAAGGAAACCTCGACAATGCATTGCACTATAAAGGATCTATCGTTCGCTTTACAGAGTCATTTTGTTTTTATTCCTTCTTTGCTGCCTTTTCTGTCAAAGGTTCAGGGCGGATTACGCGGGTGCATCTTCATTTTAATCTCGCAACAATCACAATAGGATGCTTGGCCCAATAAGATGCTCCCTGAGGACTAAGCTCCCGGCCCCCCGCCATCTTCCCTTCCTACTACTACATTGCACCTGTCCCGTTTTTGGTTTTCGGTACCCAGAGGTACTGCAGGCGTGCTCTAGTCGTCGCCCCCTCTCCCCCCCCCCAAACTGAGCTCGTTTGCTTGGGTTGTGGGAGAAGCTTTGCTACGCTTAGGCTTCTGGCGCCCAGCTCGCCTCCCAAACCGCAGTCCGGTTGAAGATTTGGAGGTCAGAAGAAAAGCTTGCGAGCATCTTCGGTCTTCTTCCCCTTCAACGACCGGACGGAGCGCTTCCACTCTCCCTCCGAAGCTATTTCGAGAAAGGTCAGGTCAAAAGCGACGAAATATCTCCTCCCCGGAACTGGAGGCTGGAGCCAAGCCGAGAAACGGGCAGGCCTATTGGCGAGCGGGAGCCCGGAGGTGGAGCCGCGCTCGGCAGAGCCCGCCCGCCGCTCTTCCACTCGGGTTACCCGGGAAGCCGTCGTACCTCATGGAGGGCTGGGCTAGGAGCTCGCTATGGGGGGCAAGGCGGCTGTGGGCTCCCCACGCCCACATGACGCGAAGCCGGCTGATCTGTGGGCGCCCCTTGAATCTCTGGGAGTCATCGGGTGAGTCCAAGACCTTTTTCCTCGCCTCTTAACCTGAGTGGCCTGGCCTCGGCTGCCTGCAATCGAGGGTAACTGCGGTGGAGATTTGGGGTTGTTGGCCTTTCAAATCTTCGAAGATTTTAAGGAGGAGGATGAGAAGAACCTCTTCGAAGAGTGTTCGGCAGCCTTTCCCGAGTTAACCGCCAACCTTGGGGTGCTTATCTTCAACCTCTCTTAAAAGCATCAGGTGGGAAGGCTATCCGCGGCGATCTGTTTATCTGTCTTTGGGCCTCGGGCTTTAAATTGAAAGAAATCCCCCCCCCCCTCGCACTTTAACAAATGGAACATAGATGGCATCTGTTGCATTTTTGCCTAATTGGTCATTTTTGTCTGCTTCTGAGCCATTGTATTCCTAGGTGAAAGTTATGCAGATCCATTGGTATTTGCAAACCCTTTTCCTATGTAACAT